AAAGCAAACAAACAAAACAAAAACGGACTTATAAAAGGAGAGAACAATCTGATGGTGGCCAGAGGAAACGGGGTGTGGGGGTATGGGTGGAAAAGGTAAAAGGGAATGTAGTCAATAACACTGTGATAACTGCACGGTGACAGATGATTGCTAGGCCTAGTGTGGAGATCACACTGTAAGGTATATATGTGTCAAATCACTATATTGTACACCTGAAACTAATATGCCAACTATACTTGAATTTTTTTACAAACAGAATTTAAGACAAAAAAATGAAAATGTACATAACACTTCTGACTGGGGCTGTTAGGAAAAGCATCATGAAACTGGCAGCCACAGGTCTGGGCATTCAAGGATTGGTAGGATTTCAAAATGGTGAAATAGGAGGAAGAGCATTAGCATAGATTAAGGGAATTCCAAGTAGTCCAATTTGGCTGAATCACAGGTAGATAAGGCAAGAAACTGAGGTGGAGGGATTGAGCAAAAAAGAAAGGGAAAAAAGAGAAAGAACTCATGGACACCAACAACAGTGTGGTGATTGCCGAGGGGTGGGGTGGGGGCGTTGAAGAGGACATGGGGGGATAAATGATGATGTGGGAGAAAATAAAAAAATAATAAAAATGAAAAAGATTAGAAAAGTCCATAAATTCCAATACAAATATTTAGGCCTTGATCCAATAGGACAGCATGAGCCATGGAAGGGTGGAGCCGATATGATCAAAGCAGTTTTGACATTACCACAATGAAACAAAACATCCTTTCTTTATTCCATTTAAATAAGGAAAATGACTTTTGAGGATGTAGTACTACCAGCTGCATTATTTTTACCACTTTTCAGATACATTTAGAAGTTTATTATGTTTTAGTGAAATAATAATGGCATAAAATCTTAACCAAAATTTTTCTAAAATGTTTACTGTGAACATATACTTTTGCGTCTATTGTGCGTAACCAACTGGCCTTAGTGGTCACTGCTGGATATAAGGTAAGTAATAAAGCTTTCTCAGCTTTTGTCAAAAGTCATACTCAGAGGCCATCTCATTTGACAGTGGCAGCTTCTAGAAATCTCATTTGCAGAAAATAGCCCCTCTGTTAGTTTATAGGGTTTGTTTTCTCCTCTATATTAAAGTATTTTATGAAGAATAAAGATAGGTAATCAAATATGAGATTCCACAGATAGCATATCACTATTTTAAAAACATGAAACTTAAAATAATCTAAATTAAATAGTAATTGTTCAAAAAATGCCCACATATTAACTGTATCTCACTATTAAAAAGTAAATTATTACATCAGTAATAATTTCAATTTGCCTGAATAATTAAAAGATGTCCCCAAACAATGTTTTAAAGTTTTGTTAATACATATGTCACAACAAATATTTAGTTAGGAGGGAAACATTTTCTATTAACTAATTTTTCCCACTAATTTTAGTGAACTAATGGGATCAAGGCTTGACCTAATTAAATTCAGAAATCATGTTTTGTGTTCTGCATAAATCAGAACTGATTTTGAAAGAACCAAAATAAAATTTTCAACTGAAAATAGGAAATGAGAGCATAGACATGATATAGGAAGAAATATTTAAACCAAGGAACCAGTTAAAAGCTCCAACAAAAAATGAAAATCCTGGAAAACAAGAAAAAAACAAACAAAAAATCATGGTCACATTCATGTCAGGACACAAAATTAGAGTTTTGAACAAACTCTGGCCCTAGGTATTATCTAAACATCCTTGGGTATTTAAACCATAAGCTCCCCAAGTTTTTTTTTCCTTAAGTGTCCCTGAGATCAATCCCTGGTCAGATAATACAAGAAAAGGTCTCCCCTAAAGTTGTTAAAGGTTTCCTGGCTTGCAGCCACCTTAGCCCTCGTCTTTAGCACTTGAAGTTGAATATGATCATCTCTCCCTTCTACATTTCTTTCCCCCATCATGTCAACAATTCTAAACTAGGAAATATACAACATGCCCTTTAGTTTCTTCTTCCTTTAGGGCATGACTTCCAAAGTTTTCTTGTCTCAAAGGTGATGAGTCCTGATGGAATTATCTTAGTATTTTGATGAACATAAAAAACCACTTTGATAATACCTTCTTGGTTTAGTTACATTCAGCCCTTCCCTATCTCCCAAAATAATAATCCTGAAATTAACCAGTTCTGGAGGTCCCAAACCTATAGTAATTTTCCCCTGAAACTTCAAATGAAAACTAAATCCCACTGTACCCAATTCCATAGAGTAGCAGGCCATCTAACACAAGTGTGTTAAAAGTGGCAATTCCAATCCTGGGCTTTAAAACTTCAGAGACATCATTAAAAGTATTGTTTAGTACACATAATTTTACCATAGGTTTCTAATATACTTTTCCACAGGTCATCTTTGAAAGTGTATGACTGTGCTGGCATTTTAATACACTGATGTAAAAGCATGAAACAAAGATGGGCTTCTGCTGTAATCTTCAGGAAACTTTAAGTCTCTCTGTTGCTAAAGTGACATTCTCTTCACTACAACTGTCTTAAGCACTTAAGCCCATGCTAACATCTCCTTTCCATAACCACAAGAGTTTTAAGCTGACATTCTACCACTTGGTATATGATTATGCAAGATCTTTTGTTGGTCCCTAATTGTTTTACATCTGTATATTTTACCTTGTCAAACAAACTCAAACTTCTCAAAAGCATACTTTTCTTTCCCTAGCACTTGTTGCTATACAAGCTGCACAAGCCCACAGAAAACTTTATTTAAAAACCAAATGTTACATACATATGATTTCTAATGATCTTTCTGAAGTGTTGTTTCTGCTCTTAGCACAAACTAGTGAGTCTGGGTTGTTGACAAGCAGAAAGAAACAAGTTTTGGAAAACCTAAGTAGAAAAAAAATATCATCACATTAAAAAAAAAAAAATAGAGGAGAAATTAGATAATGATCTGGAAATTACTTCCCTTCTCTAATAACCATAGCTGTCACTAACCACCTCCACCCCCCACTCCTCAATCACACACAACTAATTAAAGAGGAGAAAGCCTGGATAATTCATGCGCAACATGTAAGATCCAAATTATCTAGCTAAGTGTATTCTTTGCCCAAATCTTCCCTTTATGAATGAAAAAAGAAAAAATATAAGAAGGAAGGACACTAATGTTCTAAAGTCTACTATCTGACAGGTCCATCACCAGCTGCTTTACTTGCACTATCTCATATATTATTACCCACATTTTGTCAAGAAGATAATTGAGGCTCAGTGAGTTTGAATAGGTTACCTAAAGCCAAAGTCTTTGGTTTTCTTCCCCCCACTACACTCAGCTAGAGTTTGTCCCACAGTTTAGTCACTCATTGAGAAAACACTGAGCACTTATTACACGCTAGTCCCCACTCTAGGCATCAGAAACACCAAAGTGTGCGAAGCTGACCAGGTCCTCACAGAACTAACATGCTAGTGACAGAAAATAAATAACCAAACAGGATAATTTCATAGTTATAATAGTTTACCTATATGATTTTTGTACAATGATAGTCAAATATTTTAAAATATGAGATTAAATAATTGCAAAAATTAAATGGGTAGGCAGAATGTGAAACCCAATGACTATTGGTAGCATTGTGGCCCTACTGTCAATTACTGAGCCAGGCCACTGCATCTTTTAATAAATCAGAGGGAGAGAAAAGGAAACACAGCTTTAATGCTGCTCAGAATTTCTTTATAAAATCAAGTGACTCTGTGAGATACCAGAATGAACAGCTCTACCAGTACTGGTTCTCAAACCCAAAATTCCACCTTTCATCCATTATTCATGAAGGATCTGGGGCATTATCTGAAGAGCTTATTTGTAAAAGCAAGGGAGTGTTATAACTTGACATATGCCCTTACCAGAAAAACATCATAAGGCTACACATAGTATCCACTGGGCAATGGCATCCAGCTCTCAGCAGATGGCCAACAAAAACTGTAGGGCTCAGAGACTAGACTGCTCAGTAGCTACCAGGAAGAGCCTGGCCCCAGTGCTGCAGCTGCATTAACCTCCACACTCCAAAGGGGAACTTCACATCTCTTAAACCTGGAACATATGCAAAATTCTAACAGCTCTATTAAGCAACTAAGACCGGATGAAACTTCCCTTCCTTCCCTGCCTAGTCATACAAGTATATGACTAAATTAGCTGTTAGCTATTTCTATAGCTGCTTCTCATGCTATTTACGTGTTGTGTAATTTGGGTTGGCCTGTGCCACGAAGACTTGGCGAGAGTGTGCGTGTGTCAGTTCCTTTGGGACTCCGATGGAAGGCTGTGGGAGAGCGGAAGGTCCTCCACAAGGTGGAAGGCAGTCTGGAGACCAGTTGCTAGGGGCAGCCCTTCATTCAGAGGCTATACCTTCCTGCCCACGCATCTCTGCAAATCTCTGCTCCGCAGAAGTTACTCCTTGGGGGGGGGAGGCTGTGGTAAGTTCACCTGCGTACGCACGCCTCCCACTTGCTCCTGGAACTGTCACCCTGCAGCAGCTAAGGTCCCCAAGGAAGCCTCAGCGCCCTTCTAGAATCTTTCCCTGTTGCTTCAGAAGGGAGCAGCAATCCTTATCAGAGGAGCGACATCCACGAGCTATAAGTTTGCAGGAAACTTTCAGTTAGCTAACCAACCCTCCCCCAAAAGTGCGGCCACTTAACTTAAGGAAGCGAATGTATTACTGCACCCCATCTGCCCCCC